TTACGAATTCAGTAAATATTTGTGTAAGTCCATTCACTCGATGCATTTCAATTGTGTGTTAGATGAAATGTGAATTATTATTATTGTGAGACGCATGTGGTTCGTTGTAACATTCTATTGAAAGAGGGCTGTTATGTTATGTCACAGATCATCAGATAATCATTTTCATCAAAATGTTGTGTAGGTTATCATTCATTGTCCTTGATGTATAATGTTCGTTGGTCGGTTCGAAAATCACTGACTGTCTTTCAATATCGATGTAAACAACTTTACCACTACCTCCACTTCATACAGTATTCTGACAATGTTGCAAACCTTCTGTAGTGGGATATTTTGACCACTGAACCTTTTCAATTTCTCAGTGTATTCTTATGTGTAGTGTTGGCTGGTAGAGAAATTTACACTTCACACTTTGTGGTGTTTACAACGGATCAACTGCATAAACAAACATCAAACTGATAGAAAACATCAACTGTGTAGCTTGTTGAGTGCTAACTGACTGTTCAAAACAAGAGGAATGATGTTCGTGGAGTAGCATTCAATTCAACACACAGATGCAAGAAATCCAGTTCAACGAGTGATGAGTTAGACTCCACCGTACTATCATCATTAAGATTACTGGACACTGTTGACTTAAATTGAGCCAAAGCATTTAGATCAAACATGAGATACTCTATAAAACAGGTGAACCTGTATTTTACTTCAAACTATCTTTCCGTAATGATGTCAGATGTGAATTTAACTCGACGAAAGTGAAAATTCTCGTTTCATTTTATGATTTCAGTTCTCAACACATTCGGATGGAGAGACTCTTTTTAATAAAACGTAAGATTTTAAATTAAACTGAAATCATACTTTAGTAACAAGATATCTAGTGTAACAGGGCAGACTGACATCTTAGATACAAACCACAGCTACACAAATCAGATGATATATTTCATTTTGATACGTTATTTGTTGATAACCACATATTCCAATGTCGTATTATGATCGTGAAATGCATGTAAGTGAATGGTCAAGCTGTTGTGTCTTGCGGTCACTAATTCTCCATGTACCGAGACATCAATGAATATCACGTGTTATATTTCACAGTCAATATTTCAATTATTGATCAGTTCATCGTTGACTTATTTCACGATTGTTTGTAACAACTAACCACACACCTTACTTTAAACACAATCTCACAACACGTGATAGAGAGCGGCACAACTAGTTCTATTTCATACTAATCAGCTAGATATGAACCAACTACTTAACATTCTCAACACTGATACATTAACCATAACATGACTGGAAGACATGAACTCCTCCGACTGACTAAATATGCAAACATACCAATCTAGTAAAATATTCACTGATATCTAACATTCAACAGACTATAGATATTCAGCAAACAGTTTACCTAATAACAAATTTCATTATGATGAGTGATTGCGATTAGCATGAATTGTACATGGTTTACAGTGTAAATGTGTCGATTTACTTACCACAAAGATTCTTATTGATTCATGCTTAGTAGTCTGCAGTTTAGTGATTCGAGGAACATCAGATATGTGTGAAGCAACTTTGCAAACATAATAGTGGAAGGAGATGCTTGGAAGATGAAAGCTCCGAGAATGTTGACTAGGACTTCAAGTACACACACTTACACAAAACTCACTTCACACGTAAACTTCACTTAACACTTTTCTGTAACACCCTTCTGTCAACCGTTGCTTACTCACTTACTCACTCACTCACTTGCTCACTCGCTCACTCACTCTCTCACTCACTAACTCACTCTCTCACTCACATTTCTATGCACAATTAACATGCAGTGCGTTTATCAGCAAACAGTAGTTCAAATCTACCGATCAACTCTACATTGAATAACACTCGCTTCTTTCTTTATGCCAACTACATTATCTCCAAATGATATGTGTCATTTCCGTTTAACGAACAAAAACAAAACACAACTACCCTCAATCATATAAACCATGTTACACTGACCATAATTATTGATATTTGATAAAATTCCTCATTCCTCATTATTACCATGAGTATAAAAATGATTTGAACTTACAACAACACACTCTTCCTCCAGTTACATGGTCAGTGGAATTCATATTTATCGTAGCGTTTCCAATTAGCCAAGAATTTAGTTCGCACCAGTTCGGTTTGATCTGTAAATTAGAACAAGTTTGAAATGTCACTTCTTATATCTGCAATTCATACATCAAATGATTGACATGAAGCATTCAATCCAATTATAATGATAATAATAATAATGCTGGTGGTCAAATACTAGTAACTTACGAATATCTTCTACTCTTAAAGGCCATGTTTTGCAGCCATATAGTAGAACGGAACGAACTGCCGCGCAGTATACTCGTCCCTTAATTGATAGACGGATATCTCGCCTACGCCATAGATGTCGTAAGTTGGCAAAGGCCAAACGAGCTTTTCGAATCCGAGCTGACATTTCGTCAGACACCAACCCATTAGGGCTGATCAAAACACACAAGTGTTACACACTGAACGCAAAACATATTCATTATGTCATTAGACAAGTTAAAACATACTACATTCTTCATTGAATTATTCACTGAATTCAACATAGATCTCTATATTCAACTTTCAAATGTAACTCCTTTTGTGCTTATTCCACTGATTCATGTTCACTGACGTGTTGAATAAGGTGAACACGTGAACTGGAAGAAACCTTCAACCAAGTGAAATTGAATGAAATGCCACCAACTATTTGAATGGAACAATTTGTTCCATGTTCAATTGACTTCGTCTGAATCATAATTGTTCTGCATCTCAGTATACTTCTGAATGATTCAAAGCTTCATTTGCCTTGATATTATGTGAATGAGACTATTGATGTGACGGAATTATTGATATTTCCATTGGATATGTGTTCTGTTCGTTGTGTTCGTTGTGTTTGTTGTGTTGCTTACATTTCTCTTATTCCACTCGAGTTTAGTGTATTACTCTACACTACTTATCAGTATTGAGTAGTCTATCACATTAGCCAAAACATTCTTGTTTACGTATGCACACTGATGCATACTGACATCTGTGTTGTTTGTTATAGTATATTCTCCAGCACATCCATTCACTGAACACATTCAATTTATTCATGCATGCAGTCATGTCATTTCAATGATATCGTGCAATAGATATTTCCGAGTGTAGTGTGCAAGTTGAACGTTCGTTTAGATGTAAGCAATTCCATGTGTTGCTGTTCTTCCTTCTCATTTTCACATTGTGTCTATCACACTCACTTCCACATAACTATTTGTCGTCTCATATATCTCACTCATCGTATGTTGTTACACAAATATGTATCAGTGTGATGATGTATTGTTCTGTGAATATGCAACAACCTGACAAATATCTCATTTGTTTTGTTTGCCTTTGCAAATAACGCTTTCGTGCACTTCTCATAATAATTCACTACGTGAAATCCGTTCATGATGTAATCAGGTGTCTTTATTAGCCAGTCAGCTTAAACAAATGATATCATGATATTATTAGTGTATCATTCAAATGTTGCATTGAAGACAGTGTGAGTATTGACAATCAATAGTGTAGGATTTTCGAATGATAATTATTGAGGGAATAATTCGATTCACATGGAAGCAAGTGAACAGCATTTAAACCAATGGAATTGGTCAATGGACGATATTGAATTTCTAGACGAAATGTCTCAGTCGTTAACAACCATCCAAGGTTGTGCAATTCAAAATGCTCACTCATCATCCAAATTATAGGAGGTGATTTACGTGGTAATAAGTAAAGCCCATAATATTATTCTGTCATATACTTCAAAGTAGTGTTTCAGGGAAAATCATGAAAGTGTACAGTTGCATTCGATGATGAGAATGTGGAAATGATGAGGCAATGCTGAACATGAGAACGTAACGAACACTGAGAGGAAAACTAATCGCATAGGGTAAGTGATTGTGAGACGATAATGCTGTTTGAATTTCACACGGTGTTATTTTTAAAAAACAAAGAGTTTAACACCGATAACTAAACATTGAATTATAATGTGAATGGAATGAGATGACGACGATGATTATGGGAATAATTGCCCTATTGACTACAATAACAATAAACATGTTGATATCAGGGAAGCACGTGGGAAGCACAATATGTGGGAAGCAGATGTCGAATGTGTAAATTGTTCAATGGGAAGAGGTCAATATTTGGGTGAAGGCGTTCACCAAACAACCAAAACAACAACAACAACAACAATAAAGACAATAGAAATAATAATCATAATGATAAGAATAAGAATAATAACAACAATAAAAGATTAGGGTCAAGATGGAGATGATTATGGGAAAGAATTCATTTGGAAACAGAGTTTTAACACCATTTGATGGATATTTGAATGATCAGTTGTGTTAGAGAGTTGTTACTGATGATTTATGAAGAGATTTCTGAACTGTGCACACAACCGTGTCGATTTCTTGTGACAGCGTCAAACTGAGAAGCTCATTCCCAACTAATCGCATTTGATTTTGGCATCAACAGTGTTATTCAATTGACTTCATTATATTTGTCGTAAGATTGTTCAATGTGTAGTGTTGCCTTGACAGTTCCATTGATGTTCCATTGATGATCTCAGTAAACCAAACGGAAACAAATGCAAATATTCTATGATGAAATGTTGTAGCTATTATCTTCACCTATGTATGCTAGGTGACAGTCAGTTGGATGATCGTTCCACATCATACACATGCAATTGATGGTGTTTGTTGATTAGGATGAAATTGTAAGCACGAATGACAGACGGTAGATTTGAACTATTCTCACAAACAAGAGAATAGTTGATTTGATATCGATGTCTGCATTTCACAATCAATGTAGGTAATATGGTTAATGGTTGTATTCACAAGATTATTCAGTAAGATGTGTTTCAGAAGAAAGCTTCCTTATACATGAACTATGTGATATGCAGTGATAAGACCAACAGAATTTTATTAACATCACATTGCACACATATGATGACTGATATTGAAAACTCGATTGATGTCGATGATGATGTTGATGGGGATGATGATGATGATGATGATGATGATAATGATGATGATGCTGATGATGATGCTGATGATGATGATGATGATGAATTGGATAATGATGATGATGATGATGCTGCTGCTGATGATGATGATTCGAATGATGATGATGATGTTGATGGTTCTGAAACTGATAGTGATAATGATAATGATGATGATGATGATGATGATGATCAACCTTTTGATGATGATTCGGATGATGATGAATTTGAGGATGATGATTATGATGATTTAAATGATGATGATTTGGATGATGATGATGGTGACTATGATTATGATTTTGACGATGTTGATGATGATGGTTCCTATAATGATGATGATGATTCGAATGATGACGAATATGAAGATGTATATGATGATGAATAAGATGATGATGATTTGCATGATGATGATGGTGATGATGGTGATTCGGATAAAGTTGATAATGATGAATCGGATGATTATAGATATGAAGATGATGATGACGATGATGGTGAGTTTACGGATAACGATGATGATGATGATTTCGATGATTTTGATGGTGATCATGATTCGGAAGATTATGATTTGGATGATGATGATTATGAGGATGATTATGATGATGATGTTGATGATGATGATGATGATAATGATGATGATGATGATGATGATTTGGATGATGATGATGATGATGATGATGATGATGATGATGATGATGATGATGATGATGATGATGATGATGATGATGATGATGATGATGATGATGATGATGATGATGATGATGGTAATGATGATGATGATGATGATGATTTGGATGATGATGATGATGATGCTGATGTTGAAGATGATTTTGTCGATGATCATGATTGTGATTATGATGCTTATGATGATAATGATGATTTTGATGTTTCGGATGATGATCAAGATGAAAATGATTCGAATACTGATGATTATGTTTAGGTTGATCATGATTTGGATGATGACGATTATGATCATGATAATGATGATGATGAAGATGATGATTTCGAAGATGATGAATTGGATGATGATTTACATGATGATGATGTTGATTCGGATGATGATTATGGTGTTAATTTGGATAATAATGATGATAACTTCTCGAATTATGATGATGAAGATGAAGATGATAATGATAAGAATAATGATGTTGATTGGGGTGATGATGATTAGGATGATGATTCGAATGATGATGATGTTGGTTGTGATGAAACTGATAATGATATTGATAATGATGATGATGATGATTTGGATGATGTTGATTTGGATGATGATGTTGATAATCACGATTACGATAATGCTGATTATGATGATTCGGATTATAATGATGATGATGTTGATGATGATGATCACTCTGTTCATTATGATTTGATGATGATGATGATAAGGATGATTCGGATAGTGATGATGATGATGATGATGACGATGAGGATTCGGATTATGATGATTATGAAGATGAGGATGATGACGATTCGGATGAATATGATAAGGAAAATTTTGAGATGATGATAATGATTCGGATGATGATGACGGTGATGTTGATGATTTGGATGGTGATGTTTCTGATGACGATGATTCGTATAATAATATTATGATGATGATTCTGATGATTACAATGATGATGATGGTGATGAAACTGATAGTGAAAATGATAATGATGATGAAGATTATGATGATTCAGATAATGATGATTCGGATGAAGAAGACGATGATTTGGATGATGATGTTGATCATGACGATGATGATGTTGCAGATGATGATGATTCGGATGATGATGATGATGAAGATTTGGATTATGAATATTATGATGATGAAGAAGATGATAATGATTCGGATGATGATGATGATGATGATGAATTTGATGATTTAATTGATGATGATTCGCATGATGATGATGGTGATTATGAAAATGATGTTGACGATGATGATGATGATGATGATTTGTATGACGATGATGATGATGATGATGATAATGATGATTCGGATAATGACGAATATTATGATGAATATGATGATGAACAAGATGATGATGTTGATGCGGTTGATGAAGTTGATTCGGATGATGATGATTTGGATGCTGATGTTGATGTTGATGATGATGATGATTTGGATGATGATGATGATGATGAAGATTTGGATTATGAATATTATGATGATGAAGAAGATGATAATGATTCGGATGATGATGATGATGATGAATTTGATGATTTAATTGATGATGATTCGCATGATGATGATGGTGATTATGAAAATGATGTTGACGATGATGATGATGATGATGATTTGTATGACGATGATGATGATGATGATGATAATGATGATTCGGATAATGACGAATATTATGATGAATATGATGATGAACAAGATGATGATGTTGATGCGGTTGATGAAGTTGATTCGGATGATGATGATTTGGATGCTGATGTTGATGTTGATGATGATGATGATTTGGATGATGATTATAATGATGATGATGATAATGATGATTCGGATAATGACGAATATTATGACGAATATGATGATGAACAAGATGTTGATGTTTTAAGATAATGAAGAATATTATGATTCTGATGATGATGATTCGCATGATGATGATGATGATGATGATGATGATGATGATGATGATGATGATGATGATGATGATGCTGATGATGATGATGCTGATGATGATGATGATGATGATGGTGACGATGATGTTGATGATGATGATGACGATTCGGTTGAAAATGATAATAAAGATTTTGATGATTATGATGATGAGGATGATGATATAAATGAGGATGATGATGATGATTATGATGATGATGTTGGTTATTTGGATGATAATGATGATGATGATTCGGTAGATGATTTTTGGAATGATGATGATCATGATGATTCGGATGATGAGGATAAAGATGTTGAGTCGGATGATGATGATGATGATGACGATTCGAAAATGATTATTATGATGATGATTTATATGATGATGATGATGTTTCGGATGATGATGAAGTGAATAAGCATAGAGAATGCAAAACAGACTGAACACCGCACCACCAAACACAACATGTCTTTCCTTATTCTCACTGACTAGATATTTCGCTTGATGATATTCAGAGATGACAATGGTAAGAATAGGTCTGTTCACGGTCACTTTGACTAGTCTTTCTACACTCTACTACTCAACTGCCTATTCTCCTAAATAACAAATCACACACACGATTCTGGTGCATATTTTTGACGTCTACCTTTCTCATGCATAGCAGTTGCATTGAATCTTGACTTAACTGAGAATGTATGCAATCCAGTCAGTATGTTAACCTGCTGATATATCCAGTAAACGAACATCGAAACGTTGAAGGATGTCTGCTTGCTCATACTACACATGCAATGTTGCACAATCAACGTTACTTCGAGGTCCCGATGAAGTGTATAAGCAAATGACAGAATATCGTCAGTAGCGTTTACCACAACATACAACTGACGTAAACATAGGTGTGGAGACTCGACCAAAATAAAGCTGTCAGCCATACGCATACTCAAAATGAAAATACCAATACAGTTATGCTTACATACAAACAAATTCACAACAAACCTGTCCATCTCAAATGTGAATATTTCACTAAACTTTATGGACACACTGGAATGTGTGAAGCGATTGACCGATGCTCAAACTGCATTTCTTCAACTTGGTTCGCTCAACGTCTGATTGCATAATAATAATAATAATAATAATAAGTTTCCATCATCAAATCACCACCGTATAAGTTGACAGCTGTCATTAATTCTGCTTCATTCTATATTCGTGTAAACTTCCACAGTGTAATTCAGTGTGCTATGGCAAAGTTTGCATTGATCCAACTGGTCAGAAATGAATGAGTTACTATGAGCAGACACCTGATTGGTCAGTGAGTGGATGTGGAAAATTCCACCAATCAGGTGCTTCATCTCCACTATATAAACAGCAGCAGCAGCAGCAGCAACAGCTGCAGTTGTCATTGTCAACAAAATACTTCATTTCTTATACTAATCACGTTACATCAAATGACTGAACATTCGTTCATTATCACTGCATTCATTTCAATTTGTCTTTTCAATGACTTTCACACACAAACGAATGTGGCAAATAACTTTACATTGTTATCGTCATGTGAGCAGTGCCCGAAATGTAATACAAATAATATGCATTGCAACTACTCACAATGGACGAGCAGATTGGGAGTACCAAATCAGAAGTTTTATCAAAAATACTGGTTGAAGACAGTCAACACGAGATCAGACTGCCTCACTGAATGCCGATCGTATCCACAGTGTAACTTATACACATATAAAATTGTAAGTTTAAGATAATTTTCACATTTTCGTTAGACGTGTAAATATCCAACAGATATATACTACTGAAATGCGCTACTATTTGTCTTCGGTTGAACTGTCTGATGATAGACCTAACTACATTAGCATTCAATAACATAAGGCACATGATGCTTTCTTACCACACACACAACTAAACTGTGTCTATTCTACATTGTTGACAAGCTCTAAGTAATACTATTCATTTCACACCCAGACACACATCATCATTCAATATGAATTGTGAAGCATCACTTCACTGTCAGACGAATATCGATCGGAATTGTATCTGTGGTTATGTGACATGTTAACCGAATGACTGACAATTGATAGAAACTAATGGACCGATTTGAATGAAGTTGTAGTTGATGGAAGGCTGGTTTATTTCAACGTTTCCTATATTCGGTTTGTATCCAGATTAGTTAGTGGTAAGGTGAAATGGGATAAATCGATTGTGTACCACTGTGTACCACCATCTCAATTGTGATCAGCCAATCCAGGAACCAAATGTTCACTGACTAAACATCGATTTATCATTACGTTTAATAGAATAGTTATAAATTTGACATTTCCTCTTCCATAGTAAACTAGTCCTTTGTTCATCAGAACTTACAAATCATATTGTCTCTTCCAATATTTCCCACAGTCACGTCACTTCCAGTCAATCTCATTGTCTCCAATCAATCTGAAAAAACAATCAACCTATTGTGTTCTTACTAAATCTATTGTTATTAGTAGATGACAAGCATCGTTGGTAGTTTCAGTCAACTGGTCGTTTCAATGAAATGTTAAGTGTTGAATTTGGATTATTATTATTATTATTAATAGAATTAGTAGTAGTCCTAGAATTAGTATTTGTATTATTACTACTGTATGGAATGGTACATTTCAAGTATTCGATGTATGAATTGCAGATATCAGTTACATTAGCACTACATTTTGATTTCTAGTTCAAACCGAAATGGTGCGAATTATATTCTGGACTGATTGAAAACGCCACGATAAATATCAATTCAACTGAACAGATGACTGGAGGAACAGTGTGTTGTTGTAAGTTCAAATCATTTTTACGCTCATGGGAATCATCATCATCATTATCATCATCATCATCTTAATAATAATAATATGCATAAACATAATGAGGTGGAATGTTTCGAATATTCAGTGTAATTAGGACCAGTGTAACATGGTTTATATGATTGAGGCTAGTTGTGTTGTATTTTTTTTATTTTGGTGAACTGAAATGACACATATCATTTGGAGATATGTAGTTGGCATAAAGAAAGAAGCGAGTATTTTTCAATATCAAGTTGATCGGTAGATCTGATCTAATTGTTACTGATGATAAATGCACTGTGTGTCCATTGTGCATAGAACTTGCAGTCAGTTGCTCAGTCAATTAGTGAGTAAGCAACAGTTGACGGATGTTACAGAAAAGTGAGGTGAAGTGAAGTGAAGTGAAGTGAGGTGTGCAAGTGAACTAAGTTTTGTGTGTGTGCGTGTATGTGTGTGTTTGTGTAGTTGAAGTCCCAGTGAACATTCTCGGAACTTGAGAAATTTTATAGAAAACTTTGACTAGCCACCTTCTATATAACATCTTATAACAATCATAATATTTTAACGTCTATCTTCCAATCACTTATGATTATTATCCATCCACCAGGATACTTTTCATTAACGCACTTCAACAGGTTTTTCGGTTAATAAACATAATTATGTGTTAAACCAAGCAAAAAAAGATATACTTTGTTTATATATTCTGAGGGTAGAATCGGATGGCCCATGTGTTCAAGCAAGCAAGCAACAACAACAACGACAACAGTAAACAGTGCTGAAACACAACAGTTTGATAGTTGATCATAAGTAGTTCATGTTCTCATCTAAGACTTGACATACAATCCATTAGCTACATACATTTTTTATCTATTGAAACTATCATCTTTATGTCGAGTGTAAAATTTCATGACGCCATTTGAAAAGTATTCTATGAATTGTTTTGTACGGAATTCCTAGAATGGTACGAGGTTTTCTTTTAATAACTGATAATCTATTTTGTGCAATGTTAAAAATGGCATTTTCATAGCAGCTTCACGGTTCGTTAATTAATTAAAATCATGTTGAACTACACTTAGAATGTTGTTGAATGTCAAACATTTACTACACTCCTTTTATCTACTTGAATTTTGTTACTGTTAAGGTTTACAGCTGATTCTTGACGAGAACCGTCTTCACTAATCCCTTATAAATCTCATAAGATCAGATCAAATCTATTTTGTCAATACTGAAATCTCTTTTTACCTCTGTTCTATTGCATAAAGTTAAACTTCCGAGGAAAATATTAAAAACAAACACTTCTGTTCTATAAAAGAACTAGTTATCAATGTTTCCAATAGAAACATTTTATTAATATTACAGTTACATAGATATATGTATACAAATCAACGATTGAGATCAACCAATTCTCCAGGAACTTGTTCATTTGCTGTAATATAAAACACAAACCAATCACAATAATGTGACGTTTCCATATTGAATTAATTCTGTTTCCATAGATTCGATTGAAATTGGTAAATGTATCTATCCTATATAGGTTGATGAATATCAGTCGGAGGAGTTCATGTCTTCCAGTCATGTTATGGTTAATGTATCAGTGTTGAGAATGTTAAGTAGTTGGTTCATATCTAGCTGATTAGTATGAAATAGAACTAGTTGTGCCGCTCTCTATCACGTGTTGTGAGATTGTGTTTAAAGTAAGGTGTGTGGTTAGTTGTTACAAACAATCGTGAAATAAGTCAACGATGAACTGATCAATAATTGAAATATTGACTGTGAAATATAACACGTGATATTCATTGATGTCTCGGTACATGGAGAATTAGTGACCGCAAGACACAACAGCTTGACCATTCACTTACATGCATTTCACGATCATAATACGACATTGGAATATGTGGTTATCAACAAATAACGTATCAAAATGAAATATATCATCTGATTTGTGTAGCTGTGGTTTGTATCTAAGATGTCAGTCTGCCCTGTTACACTAGATATCTTGTTACTAAAGTATGATTTCAGTTTAATTTAAAATCTTACGTTTTATTAAAAAGAGTCTCTCCATCCGAATGTGTTGAGAACTGAAATCATAAAATGAAACGAGAATTTTCACTTTCGTCGAGTTAAATTCACATCTGACATCATTACGGAAAGATAGTTTGAAG